AATGAAATAATAAGTTACATCATGCATATGGTTCTAACAGAAAGATGAACTAGATCAAGTGTATGTATTAAGTAAGAGATGAATTAGGTCCGGGATATGTGTTTACTTTAGTAGAAAGACGAACCAGATCAAGTGTGTGTGTTAAGTAAGAGATGAATTAGGTCAGGGATATGTGTTTACTTTAGTAGAAAGATGAACCAGATCAAGTGTATGTGTTAAGTAAGAGATGAATTAGGTCAGGGATATGTGTTTACTTTTGTAGAAAGATGAGCTAATTAAGTTTTAGTGGAAAGAAGAAGTAGGCCAGGAACAAGTATGATATGGAAAGATAAGAGTGTCAAAAATATGTACTTACAGACTGATGAGATTCATCAGATCTATGTATCTGGTGGAATGATTAGCTAGTTCAAGAACATTTATTTATTGAAAAGACAAGCTAGTTCACGCATATGAACTTAGCAACAAGTAAGCTAAGCCAATCACCTGACTTAAGCAAAATAAGAGCTAGCTCACAAATAATGTGTTTATTGGGAAATTGAGCTAGTTCAGGGCTAGGCGTTGAACTGATAGATAAGCTAGTTCATGGCTATGTATTGTGTTGAAAGATGATATAGTTTAGGGATATGTATTGAGTTGAAAAATAAGCTAGTTCATGGCTACGTATTAAGTTGAAAGATGAGCTAGTTCAGGGATATATAATGAGTTGAAAGATGAGCTAATTCAGAGATATATATTGAGTTGAAAAATAAGCTGGTTCAGGGATATGCATTTAGTTGACAGGTAAACTTTGTTAGGTGTACGTATATTGAACAGAAAAATGAATTATGTTAGGGACATGTGTTTACTTTAGTAGAAAGATGAACTAGATCAAGTGTATGTATTAAGTAAGAGATAAATTAGGTCAAGGTTATATGTTATGCTTTAGAAGAAAGATGAACTAGTATTAAGTAAGAGATGAATTAGGTCAGGGATATGTGTTTACTTTAGTAGAAAGATGAACTAGTATTAAGTAAGAGATGAATTAGGTCAGGGATATGTGTTTACTTTAGTAGAAAGATGAACCAGATCAAGTGTATGTATTAAGTAAGAGATGAATTAGGTCCGGGATATGTGTTTACTTTAGTAGAAATATGAACTAGTATTAAGTAAGAGATGAATTAGGTCAGGGATATATGTTTACTTTAGTAGAAAGATGAACTGGTATTAAGTAAGAGATGAATTAAGTCAGGGATATATGTTTGCTTAAGAAGAAAGATGAACTAGTATTAAGTAAGAGATGAATTAGGTCAGGGATATATGTTTGCTTTTGAAGAAAGATGAACTAGTATTAAGTAAGAGATGAATTAGGTCAGGGATATGTCGAAAGTTGGGATAGGTCTGGTATATTAAGTGAAAGATAAACTATTCAGGTATATGTATGAAATATTAGTGCAATCGGTTAAGTTAATTTATAGTTTGAGAATTAGCTATACGACGAATGGACACATTTAATAACACAAATAACTACCATTTACAACACACACACACAAAGAAAACAAAACAAAAAATCACTATACACTGTTTAGATAAAAAAACTCTTCTTCGTGCCTATTATGACTGATCTATATTTGTTCAAAATTGACAACCGTTCTTACAAGTACCAAATAGTTGTTCGTCAGAAATGAAATAGTTCCATCTATGGTTTATACTTTTTAAAAATAATCAGACAAACTAATATGTAATTATTGAAATGCAAACATAAACTTCCTTTTAAAAGCGCAAACAAACTTTATCATTGTCAATAATACCCAACAAGAAAAAGGGTAGTTTATCAGTGTAGGGTAGGAAAGCACAATATTAAGATAAAACGGGTTTACACCATAGGTAATAAAAAACAACCAAACTATTCTACTAGTGAGAGTTTACTCTTTATAAGACCGCCTTAAGACTCTCTATGGACTTCATTTGTTCTAAAGACGATCTTAGGAATAATACTTGAAAGGCTAGTTTATAGCACAATGTCTTACTCTAATAAATGTTATTGTTGAAAGGGTTAAAGAAAGATTTAACTCTTCGTTCTCATTGTTTCACTACTACTATGCTAGCAAACTGAATATATTTTCCTTTGTATGCATGGCAACATTAATAAATAATGAGAATGAATAGTTGATTCTTTCAACCATTTAGAGTGTAGCATTTCCTAGCTGGATTGTTGTTGTTGAAAAGCAGGAAAGTTTCTTATGTTAATGGCTAAACATATCGTATATACTGTATAGTTCGTTACTTTTTTTACAATAAATGAACAGACTTGGACACTTCATGCACGTATAAAAGAGAACAGTCGCCTGAATTATTACGTAATATTTTTATGTGTGCTAATTAGCACAAATTTAATTGAAATATGGATGAGCGTATGGTCATATTCGGATATTTTTGTTAAATAAGTAATTATTGACTCTTCCTCGAAGAATGGAAACAGTATTTTCTAAGTATATATGGGAAGTTAATGCTAGATTTGAAATAATTGTTTTATTCAATAAAAATTACTGATGGTTTTTAATATTAACCATAATTAGAATTAAGATGTTAACCAAATAAATTAACAGAAACACGATTTGCTTTGCCAATCATGCAGCAAGATTGAATTATTATAAAGAGAAAATATTTGATTTACAATTAAATCCAGATTTCGAGAGAAGTTCACGCTCAGAATTCGGAGAAAAATTGGGGAGGAAAATAAAAATTCATTTTTGGAGTATCTTCTCCATTAATAACAAATATTGTATTAATCTTTACAGTCACTGGTCATCTTAACAGTTTTAACCACAAATCATAATTTTTTTTAATAGACACCTATACAGAACTGAAAGGGGAAGAAAAACAACATACTGACATGGCACTTGAAGTGTAATGTTTCCAATGGGACATCGTTAATTATAAAATACTTATTAATGTTCTCATAATACTTGTATAAAAAATACAGCATACATCTAGCATCATGTGCTCGTGAAATTGATGTATTCCAAAACAGGAAAATTAGAAAATCATTGTTTATGTCATTAATTGTAATCGTGATGCTGAAACTTTCTTGACAAAATAATTGTAATCATACTAAAAGTTTTAAAAAATAAATATGTCTAAAACTTACTAAACGTTATCATATCGTTAACTAAGATATCTTTAAAACAGAATTAGGACATATTTTAAGTCTTCACATTTCTTGGACATATTTGCTGACATTTCTTCTAGGCACAAAATCATATTATACATTCTCATTACCGTTTTCAAAAATACGACTTTACAAAAATAGACTAACTTATTCATAGATTAATCACGCGAAAAGACTTCTTAAAAAACAACAACAAAGGATCAAGTTATATGTTATTCTTAGTGAATTTTGTGACGTCAAAACTTCAATAAATATATATATATATATATACACATGTTTTAGTGTACATAAAAGGACGGATTTAAAAAAGCACGTCGGTAAAGAGTAACATATCAATTCTCCAATGACGATTCAGAATGTTTAAACTTATTATATCTTTTCAAACTTATGAGTATAGGTAATGGGTAATTACGACTATAAAATTTATATCTGCTTATTACACATATACAAAAGTGTTTTGATAGATAGATATAGGTTTAGTATGACTACAATCTTGAAAGAATCATCCAAAAAAAGCATTTTAGAAAACCAAGACAATTTTCAAATCGGGAATACAAAAATGTACATTGATTGATATTCAAAATATCAGCTGCGGTCTATAGAACTACACTATAGTATTTGTTATTAAAATAATCTATTGTTCATGTCTGAATTACACTCTTGTTACTGAAAAGCACAGTATCTTGTAGATTACCTAATTTCTTATTTACACTTTCATCGCTGCCAGTAAAAAATACCATATAAATTAAACGATCGTTGAATTACACTCATAGGACCAAATAACCATATATTGTAACTCAAACATCTCTGAGTTATACAGTTATCACTGGCAATCACAATAATTATTAGCCCAACTCTTCTTTGAATTAAACTCTTTATACTGCCAGTTACAATACCACGAAGGTCAAACCAGCTCTGAATTATACTAATAACACTATCTTGTAACTTAAACCATTTTTGATTAAGTTGTAACAATATCCTATAACTCGCATGATATTCAGATCACAATGATTATTATTAAGGACAAAATTAGTAAACTACATCTATAACCCGGTAATATTTGCACTAATTCAAGACTAATTTACAAGAAATAAAACGTGGTAAAGCATGCAAAGTACTTATCGGAATCTTGATATGTAACTACAATGAATGTACAAATGAAAAATATATAGGTTTCAAGATAAAATATTGTTTGTTTCTAAAAGCAAGTAATAGCATTTAGTACTTATAATATTTATTTGTTGTTATATTTTCGTGCTAGAACTTATTAAAAAAATTATAAAGGTTAAACATACTCTTACACATTATGCTAACTTTAATATTGAATGAGTGAGATATGACGAATTTTGATGTAGACATGTAAGAAAATTCTAATATATATTATTCTGATGAAGTATAATTATCTGAAGTACATATCCTTGTCCTATTACAATGACAGTGAACTCGTAAGGAGTTCTAAAACGAGTCACGCAAAATATAATTCTCAATGACTAAGTATATCTTAAAGAAAATATATGAAAACAAAGAATTTTTCACTTTTTTCTTTATATACGTAAGATACACTAAAACTGTAACTTTATTTTATATTACACTTAAACTAAACTACCAACAAAATTATAATTTAATTTACTTATTTTACAGCTGTGGTACGCAGATCAAAGCTGACTTTGAATGACCAGTGTTTTGATGTTTCACTTGACGGTCTGGTTGAAATACGTTCAAGGTTGTGTTCACTGCAGGTTGAATTACAAAGGAACTACAGGAAAAACCAGTCATATCTTCATATCTTGACCAGTGTATCTTAGGTAACCACGTAGGAAAATAGCGGTTGAGACATTGGCCAAAACTTTCACTAAGCCGAGAATTGGGGGCCAGTGGACGGGAGCTGAAATCTCGTACTTTCAATAGGATGATAATTAGTCAGGTGATGGCTTAGCTCACCTGGGCTGTAAAAGACTCTGGGACAAAACTTACACAAGTGAAATATATCTTGTAAGTGAGGCTCTAGAAGTGAAATCACACCTGTAGATAACAGTCCAGAATGAATTATGTCGTATTTAGAACGATCCGCTAGGCAGAAGTAGCCCAGCTCAGTCGTTTCTGCTACTCCTTTATGTATTTGGACATGTTTTTTAAAATACGTCTGTCGCTTGAATTTCTTCCCACACACCTTACATTCAGACTGTTCTTCCTTAGTTTCACCTGTACCCAATTCTGACAGTGATGGGTCTGATAGTGGAGAAACTGAGTTGTCGATGGAGGAGGGTTTTGTAAGGGTGGCAGGAAACTTTTCTGACGGGGAAACTTTAACTTGGCGAGGTTTGTGCCAACGACGGTGAGATGCGAGGTTTGCCGGACAGTTAAAAATTTTATCACAGTCCGAGCAACGGTATTCCACATGGACAATTCTTGAACACCGGTGCTGAGCAAGACTGAAAGCATCCATAAATATTTCTTTACACAATTGACAGATGTAAGCTCCCAACTTGTTCTCGATCTTGGCCAGTTCAGCCTTGGCTTCCTTATTAACTGACACAAGGTTAAGGCTAGGGTCAATGTCACCTTGTTTTCCGGATCCAATAACTTTTTTATCACTGTCCAGATCCAGGATAAACATCCCTGAAACGGGAGACATTTTGTCGTTATCAAAAATCAAACCACGAGAAAATTTTCCCTTACGTACGGGCTTTGTTTTTCGCTCAGTATTGAGGCTTGGTGACTGGGCCCTCTTTTTAGAAGTCGTACACGAAGGGATTGGTTGAGAGTTCTTAATCAGTCGAGGGAGAGTAATAGGAGGTTGATCCAACAGGAAATGGTCTTTTGGTGACGAGCCACATCGACGTGTTGTCAATTCTAGTGGTTCATCTTGTTCTTTCGCTAGGATGGGAAGCACTGACTGATTTAAAATTAGTGGGTAGTTAGAAACCTTGTCTTCTTCTGTTATTAGAGCTGTTGAGACGTTTGATAGTAGCCCTGGAGAAACACAATGACGTTGACTGTCTTTTTCTGAGCCAATATTTCTTTTCTCCGTATTCAAACAATGCGTGATCCGAGCTTCTAGATGGGTTAGTGGTTGGAAGTTGGACCGTTTTACTAGGAACCCGCGCGGCATGGTTTGCAGACGGTTTCTCAACGGACTTTGATGAGAAATACTTTAATACATGCCGTCAAATGATTGATTTACCGGGAAAAAGCGCATGTGCAGCACGAGTGAACGTTCCTCTACGCTCTCTACAACATGACATTAATCTAACCTATGCAACAACCATGTTGCATTTCATTGTCTTTTATATATCGTGCTCTACAGTGGTCATATGGTTCTCGCTTTGCCTTAGAGAATCAATGGATGAAGGTTTGGGAAAATGTCACCGAATTTCTGATAATGATGTAGCCAGTGACAATCTGAATTTATCCCTCCAATCTTTGAATTTGGGGGTCATAAACATAATAATTGGAACAATTAATTTAGTAATTCTAAAGCGTTTCTTTTTTAATCTGAAGGTGCCAGAATATCTAGACTTGTTTTCTTTACAATAGTTGATCCAGGCCGAAACCTTATTAACCAACACTGTAAACAGAGTTGCTTAAACATTATTTAAACAAAATTTCTAAGTCATTCATAAACGACAAATTCTTATCTCGGTTAAAATAAAAACAAGAATTATATTTCGTGCATGAATAGCTGAACAGTAGAAGAGGAAATGTTTCACAAGGCATAAAATTAAAACGTCGCAGGCATATGAAATGTGACGTAAACAATTCAACCATAAATAGTGGTCATTTATTTCAGATCATAAAGAATATTAAAAGTTTCAACGAGTTTTAGTTCAGAAAATACAAGGACAGCTGTTCTAAGTTTGTTTCAGCGCTAAACGACTTAATGAGCTATCTGCGGGGATCGATCCACGAATTTTAGCTGAGCCACAAGATCATTAAATAGATGGCCACATTTTATTCACAGTTACTATTAAATAACTTTTACAAACAATCAGCATTAGTTGCACTAATTTATCTCGTTTACACTTAAGTTCTTTTTGTAAAAGTTTAAATATTCAATGTTAGGAATAACAGAATGGTGGGGATACAACTCTTCTGAATTTATTATACAGAGAGAAATAAATATAATAGGACATTCAACTTTTTTATATGATTCCTTTCGATTAAAATTTATTTTTCAGTTGAGCTTTGAATCCAAAGGAATGAACTCGAAATGAAAATGAATTCAAAATTTCCTTTAAATTTCCACAGTAGCTCCCGATTACATTTCTAATGATTAAAACATTAATGATCAACATATTATCTTACATTTTTGATAAAGGGCAATCTAAGCAAAACAGTGAGCCGTGTTTGAATCCATTTCCCCCCAAATTTGCCATGGTTAAAAAAAGTCGCTTCACTTTCTGTTAATATCGCTGTGGGATTTTTGAAGTACAATCACTTAATGTATTACCTAATTATTTTAAAGAAAATTTTGTAGTTTACGTAAAACTATTTGGGAAAGATTTCTTCACGAATGTCGTGTGATATGGAAGGATACTCAAGATATTAATACATTTCTTGGGATTTCAACTTCGACTAATAAGGATATTAAGTTTATCTTTGAAAGTAATATTAATGCCTTAACCTGTTTAGATGTGCTGGTGTTTCGCCAGAAAAGAAGACTGTAACTGATATAGTTTACAAACCTACAAATTCACGTCAGTATATATATATTTTTTGTAATCATCTCAAACATATAAAGTTGTAGATTCCTGTAAGCCTTGCAAGTAGACTATATTGTTTAATTTCCAATGACGAAACAAGAGTTAATAGATTACTACAGCTAAAGCAGTTTTTAGTTCAATGTCACTACCGGATAATGTTATATTACAAAATTTGGAAATTGCTTTTTAATTAAAGGCTTTTAGATAGAGAGATTAGAAAAACTAAAGAGAAGAGTATAACTTTGGTAGCAACTCATTGTTCTAATATATATATAATGACAAATATCATTTGTTAATACACAATTAAAACAAATAATAGATAAAGAACTAAAAGCTGTTTTAAATATAATAACATTGTTTTCCCAAAAAGACAAACTAAACTTTATATATATTATTGAACAAACTTAACAAGAAAAACAATATTTTTCTAAGGAAGAATTAGAGGTTATGTGAGTTAGATTAGATTAAAACTAAAAATATCAAAGAAAAATAATAAAAATATTTTGTATTTCATTCATTTATTTAATTGCAATTCTAGAAACGTATTATATATTTCAGAATGTGTTAATTGTGATGAATGATGAAACAGATGATTTAAGATTAAGTATAAATTCTATGTTAGATTTTTCGGAAAAAGAGAGTATATGCCTTCCCGCTAGTCTTACACTGCTAAATTATGGACGGCTAGCGCAGATAGCATTCGTGTAGCTTTGCGCGAAATTCAAAAAACAATCATCTATAAAACATATATTAAATATTATGCAATAATTAAACTTACACTTTTAGTAATTTGACTTTTTGCTATAACTTGACAAAATATTTAATTTTACACATGATATTTTATAGTTTTATCTTACACGAGTTTTACAAAGGCAGACACTACACTTCCACATATGATCAATGTCTATATTTAATTATGTAAAAACCATTATTTTAACGTCTGTCTGTATGATTTTAACAAACGTTACTATACTTCCATTCCTGACTGGAATATACACTGTTTACTTGTTTCACAACCCGTTCTCACAAGTGTATCATAGAGACACCCATCCACCTCTCCGGTGAGTCAGCGGTAAAGTTTACGGACTTGCAACACTAAAAATCCGAAGTTTATTTTTCTGTGGTTGACAGAGTGCAGATAGTCCATTGTGTAGCTTTTCACTAAAAGAACAAGAACAACAACTATTTTAGTCCCCTTCCGGTGGGTCAGCGGTAAGTTTATGGATTTACAATGCTAAAATCCGGGGTTCGATTTCTTGCGGTGGAAAGAGAGCAGAAAACCCATTGCAGTAGCTTTGCACTAAAACACCAACAGCAACAACATTATTGTTATCCTCCAACACGTTCTGTAATTGACTCTCATCATCATTTTGTTTTACTGTAAAAGATTATTATATCTTGTTACAATACTCTCAGGGGCTTAAGAAACTTAAAACACACTCATTTCTGTTTTCATTTTTCTTTCAATAAATTACTCGAATTTTAATAAAAATAAAACAATCCATGTTTTATATTTCTTAATTAACTTTATTACACATGCCTCAAACCATAAAATAGATGGTCACTAAAGAGCTTCGTTAAACATGTAATCCTTGTCTCTTTTACTTCATTTCTCCCAAAAAAGATGCGTGTGTGCGAAAATGTGAGTGGCACGTGGTTATCTCACGCAATACATATTAATAAAGCGCTTTTGTAATGGGACCCAGAGAATATGTTAGATTTAAATAATAATATGACAACATATATTTGCAGCTTCAGCTGGGTTTTATGGACGTGAAAGAGAATGTTAGTTATAACACAACTGAAAAAAGAAAAACGTTAATTTACGTAATTCGAAAGAGGTATATGTATATCACAAAGCTTTGATATTGTTAATTTGGGCTCATGTTTCGCTAATAGAATCAGTCAAATATGTTAATACTTTCAAAAGTAGGAAATTAACATGATGCAGAATTGATTCAAATACTCACCTTACCTCTTTTAATTAAAAAAAAAAAAGATCTGAACCTGTCCAAGTATCCCACATATTCGGTTCCTTTAAATAGAAATAAGAAATCAACCAACTCTCATCATTGAACAGCTTAAAAGTGCAGCCACTACTAGGATTTCGTGTTTATGCAAGATAATTCGGACAGTGAAGAAGCAAGAAAATTGTTGTGGAAATTACTGAACATTTTCTCTTCAGACAAAATTTTATATCCAAAGGAATAGAAATGCAATCAATTGCACTATATAGTATGTCCGTGAGCATTTGAGAAACTAAGCGTGCAAATATATATTCAGTTATTTTTATGTATATATATTTTGTTTGTAGTTATACACAGGTTACATAATGGACTATTTGTGCTGTGCCCATCATGGGTATCGAAACCCAATTTTTAGTGTTATATGCCTTCAGATTTACCGCTGAGCTTTTGTGGGGCACCTTTATATGCTTAAGCAATAAACTCATAGTTGAGCTAGTAAGGCTTAGCTTAGCCTTAGTCTATTGACCAGGAAATTGCGTTCATCTTTGGCCTCAGTTAAATCTTGAAATAGTTTGACGGGGCTCTACTTTTAAATAGACTCAGGCCATAGCTTAATTTAACTAGCTCAGGTGCTAGAAGTCTGCCAAACTTTATGCGCATTTAGGTGTGCTTATTACAAAGGCCTGCGATGGTTTTATTGTTTTGATTTTTTTTTCATGTATGCTGAATCCGAAAATGATATCCATTTTTATCCATCGCGTACAGATTTTTCATAAAACGTCATATGTACATTTACCTAAGTGAATCATTTTTATTGAAATCGGTTAAACATTTTGTTATATTGACAACCACTGGCTATAGATGTCTCTAGACCAATCGCGACGTAAGAGTCTTATCGATTGTTCTAGAACCCAAACATAACAATAAAAAATGCTCATTGTGGTAAACGAAATAATAATTTGATCTAAGTAAGAGTTTATTTTCCTTCCCGATTTGTAAAAAAGAATATTTACGTGAGAGAAAAAAAGAATATTATTTTCGAAATCTGCGTAGCTGAATTATGGAAAATCCGTTATTAAAAACCAAAAATCGCTAACAACTGAAGGAACACTAACAAACGAAATGCAGGCAAGATTTCAATAAAACATCTTGATCGTTCCAGTGTTGAAACCAATCTCTCTGAAGGAGCCAAAACATTATTATTATTCTGCATTAAATGTATGTATTATGGGAGAGTGGAAAACGTGGTGTCTGCATACCACACTTTCATGATTTTATTTTTCTCTTTTATGATAGTTTGTGTGCGTGAAAATTATATCTGGAAAGGAAGGGCGTAATTAGACTCAATGTGTCATATTTAATTTTTCTTTCTGTGAGAGCAGATTAAAGTAATCATATCACGCGGCGTATCTGAAATAAAGCAAAGCTACAGAAAATTTAAT